TGTGCAATCTCCAACTTTTCCAAACGGACAAATGACGCAGTTATCCGTAGAACATGCACGGTCGTAAAGTCTATTGCGGATTAGTTGACGTTTGATATTGTCGCTTGGTAAGTTTATCAGGCTAACATTATCGCCTGATAAACTTACCAGGAATAGAAGGTTGCTCACTCGCTTAAGTGGGCATGCATCCCCCTCTCATTTTCCAGAAAAAAATGAAATAATCCTCGGCAAGCAAAAGGTTCGCGTCCTGGCTAGAAACAGAGTGCTATCTATAATGGAAAATTCTTATACGAATGGCAAAATGATGGTTTAGAGAGGAAGTCGTGGGCAGTGGTAGGACGTGATGTTTTCGTCGGTAAGGGCGCGAAACTGACAAAACCGTGTTTTCTAAAAAGATACCGAATAGCATACAAAACGTTGGTCCGACTACGTTATGGCAGTAACCCCGTCCAAAACAAAGCTCGCCCAATTCTTTTGCTTACGTCAGCAGCCCAACCTCGTCGGCGTAGAGAACGGCAATACTCCAAGTTTTATCCCACTCCACTTCTTCGTAGGAACTCTGATAAGAAGGGAATCCCTGTCAAATTAAGTGTACCATTTTCAAATTCTCGGAAGCAAGACTGAATAACAGCTTGGGTGATATGGAGAAATGACACGCGCGTGCAACCTGCGAACCTATGGAAAGACACCGAGCCTGTAACCAGGCGCTTGAAAGATATTTCGAAATTCGATTATAGCTCGTTGTGGCACGGAATGTGAATAAGCAGGTATGTGGATTCCTTTGCCGTCCATGGCTTAGGATCTCATGATACATTGCATTGGAAAGGGGCCCCTGATTTAGAAAGAACCTGTAGATAGGTCGTGTCCATGCTGCTCAGATGAAGCGCTCCTTCGAATGTTGTGCCGCGAATGGGCCCACTGTTTACGCGAAATTCCGAAGAAGACGTTGGTGGGCCATTGTGAAAAAACCACCACTTTTCATCCTTCTGCATTAACGTTTTGACATCGTGGTGCCCTCTCAGGGGTAGTATCGTACTCACCAACTCGTCTCCCACACAGACCTTTTGCAAGCCCCAGCATCCCCGTTCGTGTGATCCTCATGATTGGGCAAAATCTCAATTCCTCTTCCAAGACCCCATCATGGAACTACTACAGAACCGAAGTCGGCACCCAATTAGAGAAGTGATGCACAGTGTAATAAATGTGATAGTGCACTCTTCCCTCCCCTTTCTCAATCACATTTTCATCTAGGAGCTTCTTGAAATCCTTCTATGAGAAATGTCGTTGCAATGAGAAATTAAAGAGGAATGTCGAACCGACCTCCTATATCGCACCAAATGCACACCCGTTTGCGGCACCTCAAACTAAAAGCAAGTGCTTAGCAGAGGCGCGGGAAATCGTTCGAGTTTTTCACTGAAGGCATTTGGCCATCACATGGCTTACATACATACCTGCATACATATACACATACATACATACATACATACATACATACATACATACATACATACATACATACATACATACATTGACACGTTTTTTTGTTTGGCTTCGAATCAGACTATCCATAAAAACGTGATACCTTCTGCAATCACTGCGTTTATCATTGCATACATACAGTTAGCGGAATTATGTTCTTCGTAACTACAACTAGGGACCACCAAATCTCATCAGCAAAGCGCATGCTTGTGTGTAAGTCAAATAATCTATCAGCAAGTCATGAAAATTGGCATGTACGCAGCTACACATCTTCCATCAGAGGCATTCGCAAAGACATGAAGTGCTGCTCCCCAAGGAATTCGGGCATTTGGTGTTATAGGTACGCATTGCTGATGAAGTAGCTGTAATGAGAATATCAATTTGAGTAATAGGTGCGACTTTCGATGCTCATGATGCACCATGGATCGCATAGACGTAATTCATGGGCAACAAAAGAAGCGAGCAGCGTAATGTCGTGCAGTTGGGCAAATTACCTGATTGCAGTGCATGATAAAAAAAATTCCTACCATAGTGGATACGAAAAAGATTCGCACGTTCACCTTACTCTTTTGGAACTGAATGGGTCTAGCGAAAATTGCGCATCAAAATAGAAGTATCTCAACGGGTGAATGGTCGCTCATCACCAATGGCGGAATCACTTTAGTTACTTTTCTCGTAAACATCTTATTCCCATAGCCATTGCTGGCGTACAATACTGGGCGTACCGAAAAGGTGGTGGTCAACTTGTGATATGAAGGAGCGATGCCAAGCAGATCACTAAGGAGTTCCCCAGAACGAGAATATCAATCTGAGTAATCACTTTCGATGCTCATGATGCACCATGGATCGCATAGACGTAATTCATGGGCAACAAAAGAAGCGAGCAGCGTAATGTCGTGCAGTTGGGCAAATTACCTGATTGCAGTGCATGACAAAAAAATTCCTACTATAGTGGATACGAAAAAGATTCGCACGGTCACCTTACTCTTTTGGAACTGAATGGGTCTAGCGAAAATTGCGCATCAAAATAGAAGTATCTCAACGGGTGAATGGTCGCTCATCACCAATGGCGGAATCACTTTAGTTACTTTTCTCGTAAACATCTTATTCCCATAGCCATTGCTGGCGTACAATACTGGGCGTACCGAAAAGGTGGTGGTCAACTTGTGATATGAAGGAGCGATGCCAAGCAGATCACTAAGGAGTTCCCCAGAAGAGAAAAGTGCAGAAAAGTAACAAAATCGAACACTTGTTCTTGCAGACTAAAATGCGACTAAAATGCGAGGAGAAAGACAAAGATCGGCTGTTTGAATGAAACCTTGCTTTGAATAATAAAATCATCCTTTATTTTTTTTTTCGGTTTTTCGCTGTCCGGGTACCTTTATTACCGTTGTTTCCTTTTCATTAAAGATCATGGGCTTAAAGGCGCAGTTCACGATGAAAAGGATCTCTTTGATGTTCCATCAAAATGAATCTGTGCCCCCCCCCCTTTCCTTAGGACCTATGTGGCTCCGTCAAAACGACCTGAATAGGGCTTTATGAGGACTCATTGGTTGTATCGGCTGTATACCGCACCCAAAATGGACGAATTTAATGGTTTATAGAGGCTGCACCATGAGACACCCATGTTGAAAATTCAAACAACTAGTCTTGACCCGTAGCTACAGTAATAGGAATTTTTGAACATTTTTGGCCTAATGTACTCAGCTATTTATGCAATGCAACAACTGAAATCTCGTCCGAATACCCTTTTCAAGCCATTTCCGTCATGGTAAACTCGTGCAACTTCTATTCACAGGACTTTCAAAAAAGGCGTATAAGTCGGTATTCCTTCAATGGGATTCCTTCCTTGCGTCATGTGCGTCTAACTCTGTTTGACTTAATGGACAGACCTTTAAGGAGCCTCAAAAGATTTTTCGAAATGACAGCTTCACTTATCGGTTTATTAAACGCCCATGATGCTTCCCTACAGGCGATCTTTAATCATTTTCTCTTCAAGTTATTCCACTAGTCCGTCGTAAAACGGGGTCATTTTCGTTTTATTTGAATTCATAGATTCTATCAACGTATTGTTTCCACCTTTGAAGTTCAAGTCAGATCATTCAGACGAATGACTTCTGGGGAGTCAGGCGCAATTCCTAAAGTGAAAGGAGGAAAAGGAGCAACAGGAAAAGAGGTCAATTCATACTCAATTGGTCAATTGGTTCTTAGTTCCTCTTTGTTTTAGATGCTCGCAAATGGCTAACTGGACTCGTTTATGGCTAGTGGTTACCCTGAGAAAGGGTTTTGCCTGAGCACGGAATGAATGGCATGATTTACTTTGTTTAGGCTAGAATCTGATGTTTATAGAAGTGAGCTTTCCCGTTCGACACGACGTGTTAGTTCCTTGCATAGTCAGAATCTTCCACATTCTTCAAACGATTATAGCTATGGTGGAACTACCGTACCTGACAACAATCTCAGTGAGCCTGACCTATACGAAAGCTTTTCGTTTCGAAAGCAAACCTCCCCGATCGCTCTCTGTTTCCGTGAAAGAAGTAGCATGGAGCGTTGAAAACAATTTGTGACAAAAACGCCACTAGGCAAGCTCTACTCGTACAACGTGTACACGAGCGTAAAAATAGAAAGTTGGTTCGTCCTCTGGAAGAGTGGGTGCAGGAGTAAATACGCTTGCAATAGTACCAAGTAAGAAGAGTACTCGCGATAGTAGGCTCGATCGATTCCGCTTGCTTGAACACAGGTTGTAATTTTGGATTTTGCACATGGATGATCGGCAGAATGAGAGTGCGAGGATCAATAATCTGCTCGGTGATTTGCGGGTGGTGGGAGGGACGGGAGGAGGGCAGAGAGGGGCGGCTGAAGGGTTTTAACGCCCCCTTATCGGAAGATCGGCTGGCTCTCATCGACTGCTCAGGCTTCGCGTCCAGTGCCTGATCCTATTCAGCTTACCTGCATCAACCAACATCGGCCTTATCAGAAGCGGTCATCATGGAGACAGTGACGGTGCGAATGGCAAGAGGCGATCGCAGCACCTCGTGGGGTTTTGGTGTCACTGAAGCACCAAACCGTGACGTTATCATTGTGAACGTAAGTGTTTCATTTTCATCGACTGCTCCCTTTTCTATCGCTGCCGGTCACTATCTGGCTCTCTTTAACGTGCACTTGCTCACAGGACACTGACTGCCGAGCGGTTTTCGCGCTCTTTCGTAGTTCTCCTCCAGAGGCTTTCATGTATTCACCTCACAGACGGCTACCAATCCGGTAGGGCCACTCGATAGACCAGGCTGTCTTGCTTTAGCAACCGCCGAATTAATTTTCTGTGTCGCTCACAAGCAGGGCGTCCCTTCACTCTTCAAGACCCAGAAAGGAGTCTGGGCTATTCTCAAAAGTGAGTAAAGCACCGCGGTGCCACAACGACTAGGAATCGCTGATACTGACCAGGTGATAATGCAGGGTTAGAGCCGATCTCAAAGAATATTTGTCAGTTGCGAATGTTGTGATTCAGTCATTGCAAAGCTGCAGAGCTCCCCACAATTTGCTATAATGCCGTTCACCCTACATCGATTATTTTCAATTTAGGTGGTATAGAGAGACAGATAATAAGAGGACGAAAGCAAAAACAATCATTTTTTACTTTTTGGATCTACAGATAATGCTTTACTAGCTCCCAGCCCAGGTTGTCTTTGACGTGCGTTTCGTAAGCGGACTGGGAGATAACTTTTGTAGAGCTTGGCGTAAGATCTCTAAATAGCTCTCTGTGATTGATGAGACTCGGAAATGTCCGATCAATTCGTGTTGACACCAAAGTTTTTGATTTCCGGCATTCCATCACGAAGAGAAAATAGTTGAAAGACACCACAAATACCGATAACAATCAAATGAGCCCACTGAAATAAGTTGCTGTCACGTATACCTCCTTGCACCTCGAAAACGCCGATCTCATGCATCAGCATCAGCATAATTTCAGAATCGCTTATCCATAGGTTTCAAATTGGAGCTGTTGAGCGATTATTCCCGTCATCCTTTTCCTATTTCCTTAATTATCCTTCTCTGGAAGGCTTTTAGTTCACAGATAGCTTTATGTTGTGGAGATGCTAATGTAGAGCGAAATGTCAGCCTTGTTTTCTCAGACATCCGTGATAACCTCAGAGAGGAAGAAAATCAAGCACCTCTGGGGCAAAAATCAACTTTGGGAGTGCCTCATATGGAAGGAGTTTGAGCCCTGGTCGTACTCCATTTAATTGATATCGTATGCTCAGGCCTAACTCATGGCAATAGGACAGTTTCATGTCATTATGGGACTAATGTTCTGCAAGAGAGTTGGAACTGCCTTTCACTGTCTCCGTTCCTTTAATTTTTTTATTCAGTGGAATAATTGATTATATGAACGGGATTTTCCGAAGAAAGTCATTCAGACGAAAAAGTTTGAACCCGATTGGCATTAACAAGGGGCAGGCGAATTTCTAAGGGTTCGTACATTCGACTTGGAAGGCCTTATTGGTGGAAGTTCGAGCAAGTCCATCTTATTTACGTAGCCCCTGCGTGATTTTGGAAGCAGAATCACTACCACCTCAAATAGACGTGATGGACCCTTGCAAAGTAGTTACACCTTTTCATTAGCAGCGTAACTACAGGGTTACTTTTATCAACCGATTATAAGGAGGGGACAACAATAAGTTTCTCGAACTTCCTTCCCAGAGTTGCGAGTAATGTGGATAGTCAGAGTTGACCTGAACAGAATCGTTGCTCTCTTTGCTAATTTTATCGATGGGAGGCTCTAATCACCTTTAATTTTTTTATCCTGTAGTAATTGAGTTACGGAAGTACCAGAGGCTGCATTTCTACGATCACATCCCAGTTCTTGTGATACATGCGTCATGCGAAAAGCATATGAAACTGCCTCCTCTGTTCTCTACCTTCGAGCTCACTGAAAAGTGCCAGCTGTTGGGCTTTCAGTGGATAATTTTACTCTGTGCAGATCTCTGTAACCCCACTGTGAGATTTATGTGGGCATGTCCGGAAGTATGAAATCAGCCAGATACGTGCCCGACGGGGTGGCTACTCCCATGAGTCGGCTGACACATTCATACATTGTTGAACACACGAAGCACCTGTTCATCTGTCCTAGGTGGGGTGGCTCGGGTCTTTTGCAGGGCGGCGTCGAAACTCTCGTCGGCTCCTCCGACGCATTCCTTGGAATGAACAGTCATCAGTCGTCTTAGTTTAAAGGGGAAAAAAGGAAGAAAAATGCTCTAGTTTCAATTTTTGTAAAGGAACGACTGAGGCTTTCACGAGATGAAGAGCGAAGAGGTCCCTTTCTTTGCTTGGATAATTCTTTCTTTTGATCATTTCTCTCAGCGTGTTGCCGCATTAATTCTTTACATTTCTCCCGCAGGTTGCAGCCACTGCTGTACGCTTTTATGCATCAAAAACACCCCAGCAGTGTCTTCCCTTTGTTCTTCTTACTCTTTCCAAAGTGCACTTAGCCTCCGCTTATAATTTAGTGAGCATTTTTATTTGGCCTAGATACACTTTCTACGAGAGAAAAGTCGGTATCAGCATAGCGAGCGGACTCCTCCTCTGGAAATTTACCCAGCGCACTTCACTTTTGAGTTCTCCAGTCGAGCTGAAAAACCGTTTCCGATCCGAATCATCCGCCGTGAACGAAGATGGGATTGTACTAGGACGAACTGCGTAATGATAGTTGTCATTGATCATCGATGTCATCGCCGAGTTCGTTCTGCACTCAAATAGGCCGCCCCCGGGGCTATCTGTCTCGAGGTTTTCAGAGGAGCGATATCAAAAAAGAACAATATGGTAAAAAGTAGATGAATGAGCTCCTTCCTGAAAAAAGGGTGCTGCAGCTCCACGACTGCTGACAAATCAGCAGTTTTTTGAAAAAGATGCTGAACGTCTAACAATTGTTGAACACCAAGCTATGGGTTGTAATCCTCCATAGGCCTCTTGATGAGCAGACCAGGACGAAGACAACACTCGTGCAAGCTAATGGTTTCCATGACTTGCTAAAGCAGCTGGCATGCAACACAAAAGCTTCAAAGAGCACTGTTCCATTTGGAACTCATCGATATTTCAAATGTTTCTTATGAAGTCGAAGTTTTTCTGTCCGATCATGTAGTAGGAAGCATCAAGTGGTCCCTTTCAGGATTTTGAACCAGTTTTAGCACTAGAGCCATGCAGTTTATCCTTCCAAGAAACCTCTCACTAAAGAGTGAGATCCAATATATACCTAGTCTGAAGGCTAGAAAGTTTTGGCTTCCCTAGACTTGTGGATTCTGGGCGAGAATGCAGGTCTCCATGGTTCCCAATTTATTAATCGACTCAATTAATGCGATGATTTGTAATGGTTTCAGTAAGATTCGAATCCCATATAACGTGGGATTATCCCAGAGTATCCACTGCAAAGCGCACGCGGACCTTTTTGAAGTGGGGATAACCGGTATGCAAGGGCTGGTCGAGATCGACGTGGGCAGCAACATGCACTCAGTGAGCGCCAGCTCCAGCAACGGACACATCAGCAACGGCGATGACTGGGCGATCAGCGGTGTTGCCCGCCGGTGAGTGTAACAGCGAGGGATGGCACGGGGGAAAACCTGAGCCCGCAGTACATTGCAAACCCATCACTACGAATTTGCATGAGCGACAAGAAGAGGTCGACTGTTGAGTGCAGTACTTCTTCAGAAAACAGCAGCTGTAGATCTTTTTATGCTCAAGTTGCACCAAAGAGCCGTAAATGAAAATGGGAAGGCTCAAAAACTTCTTAGATGGGTTGGTGCGAAGGGCAGCAGTTTCAACTGGGAACAAGCAAAACGTGACTATTAGCTCGACTTCAATGGTCTGAGTGCAAGGCGAATCTTGCGATTTGATTTGACTTGACTGAATTTTGAATGAAAAAAGCTGTCGAAGTCCCTCGATTCTGAAATGCCAACCGAAAATCGCGATACACTTATATCAGTGATTATTTATTTTTTGTAACTTGATCCGAGTAAATAAAGCGGCTTGAGTCCAAAGAAGAAGTTCAGCTTACAATATATCACAGTTATGACCAACTTTACTCGAGTTCTGAACTTGTAACTATCATTTACTCTTACCCAAAGACATGTGCCATAACATTGACTACTTGTAACGACGTCTTCATCATATTCATTAGAAATTGAGACTCGACCCACAGTTGACCCCCCACAAAGTCACTAGTTTTTTTTTGCCAACGAATTCATGCTCCATAAGGACAGAGCGATAGAAATGCATCGCTTTTTTTTCGAATTTTTTTACATGAACGGTTTCTCGTGAAAGGCTTCTGCTTCATCTGCCACTTGAAGGATGACCTGTGGCCCTGCATTTCTTGACTGCAGGCCACCCGATGGCTCATTTCTCCAAGGTCCCGACACACTTATCTGCCAAAAGAATGCTCCCATCTTCCATGTGCTAGTCTCTGAAACTTTGTGTTATGTCCTACACTCAAGCACGCATTCGTGTGAGCTTCACAAATCGAAGTGCAGTTAGGATGAATGGCTCGATTCAGAAATCCCCAACGGTAAAAACGCCTTCTGAGTTGAGCTACTTATGAATTTCCGGTACCTGTGTAGGATTAACACAAGGAAAGTTGATAACATCTTTGAGCAGAAACAATCGTACCGGTCAGTGAAAACTTTGGTCGATGGGTAATAAACTGATCGCACTTAGCTCGCTTTGACACGAGAATCAGTCGGATGATAAGGTAATTCGATGAAAAACTCCTTTCTGAAGTGAGAATTGGATCAACAGTGAATTCATCCTCTAGCCTTTACCTTTCCTAATTTCGCCTGTTTCCTTTTTCCTGCATCCGTGACTATAAGAAACGAGACTGTTCGGTTTGCTAGAGACACATCATCACTATTGAGTCTATACCTTCTGTTTATTTGTCATATCGTTATTCTGATGACCATTCTGTTCCTTCTGATGGTTCCCGACGTCATCAGAAATGTGGAAATGCACTTTTTTGTCCGACCTAGGTTTCCTAGACCAAACAAAGGAGTGCTTTCTCACATTGTCACATTACCTTCTGAGTTATTTGCTTTAATAACGTACTCATGATGAACTTGCGTACAACTAATCCCCTCAATTTGCAGGTCGTTGGCGGCTCGTTGGCGGATCGCGCCGGTCTTCGAGACGGAGATATCATCGATCAGCTCGAGGGACTTGGAAACCTCGACATCAACGCCGTTGATCGTCTTCTCGTCACATCACGCGATAAAATCGAGCTTATTGTACACAGGTACTACTCATTTTTACCCATTACAGCGCTTCTCAGGACCACTCAAGATGTACTCATGTGTTTGAAAAATCTGAGCTACTAATTAGTGAGCGGTGCCTTCACAGAGTTCCTCAACTTACCAGTCAGTAACTTCCTTAGCTTCGTTTAAGAATAACTAACGTTCTAACTTCTTGAAGCCATTTCGATTCAATGAAGAGTGGAAGAATGTTGATCTCTCGCGATAATTAGGTGCCACCCACAATAGGGCTTCTTTCTTCGTTTTCGGAATATCCACCGAATCCCCATCTTGTTGGGATCTGGAATGTCCTATGTGGGTGAAGATGGGGATGGAGGCACGCAGACTGACTGCATCTGCGAGAAACCGTTATACAAAACAACATTATATATCCAAGGAAGGAGATAAGGGAGCGGTCTGCTTTTCTGCTGCGGCCATCACTTCCAAGGCATACCTGAACATGGAGTGTAGGTAGGAGGTAACTATGGAAGCTATTTGGTAACGGTGCTTTCCTTTCCAGGGAGGTTCCCCTCTACCCACCCCCCCCCTTCCCCGAATTTGGTCTCTACATAGGCTTAGGTATGTTTGAACAATCGTAGGCATCTCGCGAACGCTTTTTTTCTCTTTTACTACCTCCATCCATAAACAATTTCTTACGGCTCTCAACTATCCGACCTGAACCTCGCCATGACAACAATCGCAATTTAATCTTTATGCAATAAATAATCAAAGCGGAATTTCGCAACTGCGATTTGCAATTTGTGATGGTGCTACTGAAAATGCTGTTCCGTCGGTCATGCGGCATGTAGAAGATGTAAAGCGACGGGGCATCTGCATTGTTTTCCGCTGACTGCGCACCGCGGTTCATGTTCGAAAGGGCAAGGAGTGGCTCATCTCGTCTAAAACAGTTACTTCTAGGGTTTCAAACATACGGTCAACTCTTCGTGACTGTCCCTTTCTTAGAACCTGAAGATCAGGCTTTGCTCTTTAATAGTTTATGCCAAACACGTTCTGTCTGATTTTCTAATTTGCTTTTAACATCCTCCTACCACGAGAATGGTGTGATGGCGGGTGTAGTGATATCCTGTGGTCAATCCATCACCCAAATTTTCTGTAAAATTTGTAAGCTTCTTCTAATAAAACGTGACTGTTTGATCTCAGGATAAAATCAGAGCCAGTGTGGGGCACGTTATAGCCTCCGGCTCATGCACGTGCAAACTGCTATTGACTTTCGTAGAAGAGGTACTCTAGTGGCCTCGTTTGAGTCCTACGTAGCTCTTATATATTTGAAAAGCGAATCTATTGCCCACGTTGTTCGACGTATCGGCCAAGTCGATAAGCCTAGTCATCAATACTTTCAAAAAAGCATCTGTGGTACTAACACCTGACATGCAATGCAGTGGCTGTAATGGGCTGTTTCGAAAGGATTGATTGCTCCAAAAACGCGCTTCTGATGCTTGCTTGCCATCGATAAATGTAGAACATTCACGCTTCCTGCCAACAACTCTGCTTCAGGGGTGTCTTAACTTTGCTACATTCACTGAGTAAGAGTGTACTAGTTTGTACTATCATTGCATGAAAAGTAATGAAGCGTATGAATGCTCGAGATCGGAAGGGAATAGGAGGTAAGAGAAAGGGGGCACATGAGGAGAGAGGCTGAATGCTCAAGTAGGGGTCATTGGGAGGATCTGATGATGTGAAGAGTTAGAAACACTTCAGTGGATTCATCAGGAGAATGCAGCACGACACGAAAGTAGTTACGGAGAGCAGGAATTAAGGAACTACTGACAGATTTGTAAGGGTCTCCTAGAGGGAGGGAAACAGAGAGATAGTGAGAGAGAACGTGACAAACAAGCATAGGCAGGAGAGAAGGGAACCAAGGGGCATGTAAGAATGGAATTGGTAGGCAGCAAACATCACAGTTCAAGGAAGGAATGATGTTTCGATGAATAATCAGAATGACACTCCATGAAAATGTGATTTTGGAAATGTTGTGTAAGGATCTGGGCTTGTGCTCATAGTAAGAGGTAAGCTTAGAGCGAGCAAAAAGCAAGGGAAGAGGGATTAAGCTTGGCCCATGAAATCACTTTGTTCCACCTCCTTCAGCTTTTCACCGCTCTTCTTATCTTCTATCGTAGAATGTAAAGTTCATTAGTATCCTACACCCCTCGTATGCCGCACAAATATAGAATGGATACAGATGGACAGTTCCCAATATGATCTTTTCAAACGACACGAACGAGGGAACTGGTTGGTCCCTTACTATGCAGCGTACGTACTCTCTATCGCTTTGCGCGATCTCACAAATGCCGGTACAGAAACGGAAAGTGTCGCCGGAGACGGATGCTCGGATGTGTCGAACGCATCTGATACACGGCTTTTTACGGTCGTTCGCAAGACTTCTGAAACCACAGACACATTCAATGTTCTTGGAGAAAGTTGCGAAAATCGTGGGAAAACACGAAACTAGTGGTTTCCATTTCATTTCCATCTGTAGTCTCTTCCTCTTCTAAGTTAAGCACGAGATAAGGGACAACTACAATGGATGATTGCTTTTATTTGTTTTAATACCAGCTTCTTGCTACTAGCCACCTATAGAGATGTTAGACACCGAAATTCCACGGATATTCGTTCCAGCTCTTCATTTAAGCACCTCTGAATGATCATCTGCTTGACTGAAGGAAGAATTTCGGAATCTATTTCGTCTGTCTGATGAATAAAGGAACTCTCAAGTTGGCAGGTAAAAAGAAACGGTAAAAAGAATCCTAGCCTACGCGTGATCGCATGCAGGGGCCATAATTCACATCCCAAAAGTCTCGACCGAGAGACGTAAAAAGGCTAGGGAAGGTACAGCATCAGGCGCAAGATGTCATGGTCGTGGAAGTCGAAATCAGGAAGAGGACGGAAATTATGAAGGAACTGTGAGTTGAATGGCGAAACTCGTGCTGCCACACCTGCAAATTCCTTGTTAGTGCTTCTAAACGGGATAGAGCAATCGTCTCCTCCTGTGAGGGGTCCTTCTATGAAAGATCAGGAACAAAATCGGAAAGGTAAGCTCATTTTGAGAAAAATTTTCATCGTTAATATTTCAATCACGGCTCTCGCAAATGAATTCTGTTCTCTCAAATTTTCTTATTCCTTTTTATTGTTGATCATGTGTGTGTGAAGAGCGCCACTCGTCACTAAATCCAAAACTGTTAACTGTCACGAATCTGGGCCATCAGTTACAAAGGTTGATATGAGCAGTTAGCAATAATGAGCCACAATTTCCTAACTAACCTACACAACTTAATTGAGCGGAATCGTTGAGGTTGAAAAAAGGGATCACTCCCATTTCATGTGAACCCAGGACCCCTGTCAGAGCAGGCTCCACAAGGTATGCTGGATGAAAGTATGCTGAATAAGCAAATCCCAAATGACAACCACTTTAAGTGCTACAGCGTTTAGCACAGATACTCGATCAACAGTCAACATTTCATCGAAAATTCCTTTGCTATGACTAAGAGATAAGAGTCGCATTGACCGATTATCTGTAATCTTCTTCCTTGTGCCTACCTAAAACATAAACTGACCAAATAGCGGAACCCCCTTTCTCCATATTGCATCTTATCACTTTCACGCTTGGAACCATGAAGGCACTGTTGCTGTAGTGGGAAATTGAAATGGATTGGCGAATCGGACGCTTTACAGAACACATGAGGACATGAGCTCACATGCTTCTCACTTGCTCTTCAACCTTGCGAATACTCTGAGGGGCAGGTATCTGAATCAGCTAATCAATGAGTAAACCAGGGAGTATGAAATTGTCGAAAAACTAGACGATATTGCCATTGACCAAATGCCCACGATGCCATTTCCTTGTGGGAGCCAGGAGCATCCGCATTTCTTTATTCTCAAAAATTCTCAAATCGCAGATCCTTTGTGCCCTGGGGCAGTAGGAAATATATCGGCTATGCCCTTTTCCATCGCGAGTTCGGTTTTGAAAGTGAGCGGAGATTCCATGGTGATGTGACGGAGTTGCGCGATCCTATTTTCGCAATCCCATATCTGATCATTAACCCATTCTAGTTAACCCCTCTTGAGGATTTTCTCACTTTCTCAAGTCTTCACGCCAGGCGTCAATTAGCTGATTTCCATGGATGGGTAACTTCCATGAGATATTTCGCTTTTTCTCTTTGTCCTACAGATCCTTTGCTCCCTCTGAAACAGAAGTTAAAGTAGAACATTCAAAAAGAGCAGGCTTGGGAGAGGTCGGAGGAGGGAAAGTAGATTACTAGGAGCTCAACGGTGAGGCGGTTTTCGCCTTGGAGAATAGTTCTACACGTAAATGTTCATTTAGTCATTAGATATCTGCCGATCGCTGATAGATAGTGAAATGATCGAGTAGTAGTTGTAACGAAAAGCGAAGGAGCAATTCCTCAATGGAAACAGAAGACAAAAAACAAGAAAACATGGGTGAGGAAAGAACTCTCTGTGAGACAATAGCTTCACAGTGAAGTAGAGGAGAGTTCTGCGATAAGAGGATGGCTCACCTCTGCAGGAATGTAAAGGCAAAGACGAGTTCCTGTTCTTCGACTGAGCGGGATAGTGCCCGAGAAGAGGATGGAAGAGATGAAGTCCGTTCAGAGGGGCAGCTTACTTCCCCATAACTTCACCCATGAACGCATCTCGTTTTCTCTCTGGGTCACATATATGTAAATTGGGACGACAACGCGGCCTCCCGGCGTGGGATTCCCGCATCGCCCGTTTCCCTGTCCCCTCCCCCGCCATCATCAGACCGCCATCAGACCGAACGCCAATATGGTGTACGTAACAGCTGTACCGAAACCATGGTAAGTTCAATGATCGGTTCAATGTTATTAATAATTTCTTCGAAATACTACTGGTTGGAGCTAGGGGGATGTGGTTAAGGGGATGCGAACCTTCATACCGTTTACCCCCCAGTAGCATCCAGTAAAAGTAAGAAGCAGTCAAGACAACCTGTTTAATGTTTATGTTTGCGATTCAATTCCTCCCTGGGAAGGCTTTCCATAGGTCATTAACGTAGTATGATACTCATGTCTAATGACTTTTCACTTGACCTCTGAGTCCTTCTTCCCATTCCTAGCATTTTGCAATACAGCATGATAACCTGACTTCCCAGTTGATGTGAGGGAAATCATTGATGATAGGAAGGTGATTCACCGTCATTTCATCATAACTCAGAGCAGGTGCGATAAGGTGCATGCTGAATGGGTAAGTAGTGAATAGGCAACTCCCGGATGACAGTCATTCCCGAGTGTTTCAGCGATCAGCAGACAACTTGTCTTCAAATTCCTTTGCTCTGACGAATAGCTAAGAGTCGCATGGACTGATAATCTGTAATCTTCTTTTTTATGCTTACCTATTCACCTAAGATGACCAGGGACCAGGTCACTTTCCTTTTTTATCTTGCATCGTATCACTTCATGAAGTAGGCACTGCACGTTTACATTGTCGTTAGCATCAGTGGAACTGAAGAGAAGCGGAATTCTTTTGTCAGCCGTTCTGAGAAGCTTATCGAAAGTGATCGCGTCCTTATCTATTTCCCCACTTTTTTTTNTTTTTTTTGAGTCGCTGGAAATTTTTCGCACATATTTCCGTAATCGCGATATCAAATAACCATCATGTGGGCAGTAAGCGTTTTGGAATTTTCGGACGGCCCCAGTGTGCCATTAGGAAATAGAGATTTCTCTAAATAAGAAAGAATCAGCTTGTTAGATCATTACTGAGACCCAAATCGCGAAATAACCTAGTACGATGACAGCCTAATAATGTGCTTGCAGCAAACCATAAACTTCGGGTCCACGAAATTTTCAGTAATGGCTGCGGTGTAAGTGTGAGAAAAGTTGGTAGACGGGCAACACCCAACTTTTATTTGATTGATGTTAGAAATTTTAGAATAATGTAAATTTCTACCCAGAAAGCCTTGTTCTTAGATTATTCGTCCTCGAGAGACGGGCAGTAGTCACGCCGCACACGGCTGTCGCGGACCATTCGCCTCATTATAACAGTTCTAGCGTTCTTCATACAGCTCAATCGCTACGCAATTATTACTTTTGACATGATTCTACTATTGAGTCTTTTGTTTCTGTATTTCTTACTTCCTGGTGCACTCTGCTACATTACTTCGCGCGCGACGTCTCTCTTGTCGCGACGCGACGATTTCGTTGCTATTGCACCGCCCCTTTGTCCTCAAGTGTGTCTATTCAACAGGATTGAATTTCCTGCCCTATTTGTGACATAACACTCTACACACCTTGATTTATTGCCTTTCTTATGTATATCCACTCTTCGCTACCCTCTAGGTCCTTGAGTGTGTCTTACGTGCCCTACGTGCTTTAGTTTTCTGCCCTACTTGAGACACCACACTCTGCACACATTGATTTATTGCCCTTCCTATGTAAATCCACCCTGCATTGCCTGCAGGTTCATAGGTATTCGATCTAATTGTCAAGTCAATGTTAACAAAGAGTCCAGTATTCTTCAATTTCCCCTCCGACTTGGAACAATTCTCGAGTTAAATCTCTGTCATTCTTTCCCTCCGAACTGTAATCTTTAGCGGGTTCACTTTTGAAGTGATTTATGTAATTGCCTAGGGACTAAAAGTGTTCTCAGCTGTTCTATCAACCCTGTGGGCTATCCATGTCTCGCGGAAAAGAAGCACTCATCTGGTGTTGTTTTCACTCCTCTTAGTTGAGTGCTTTCCGTGATGTTCAAGACCAGGCAGACCTCGGTTTGTGGTTTCCCCTTCAGTAAAAAACCATACAGTACTCATCAGACGCAGGCATCCGTGAATCAAAAAAGGGGTGTTGTTGTTGTAAGATTCTCTGCACCGAGGAATATGAGCGAAATAAAGTCTCCAAGCTCACTCTCAGCAGAGGGAACATTTAGATCACTCTACGTTTTCTTACTTCATTGATGTATCTCTTGTTTAGCTACATGTTCTGTAGAGCACGACTGTGTGCATTCACTTCATTCTGATATTTGCAGCTTCTGTTCATTAACTGAAATCACATCTATTGTTTGAGTGGTTGAAGGACCACAGAGAACCTCCGGTTTTTGGAGATTCTAATAAAATATGTCGTACTTCTAGTAAGGAAGATTGGGAAAAATAATCTCATCTTCAACCAGATTCAACATCCATCTGTGAGGCAGTCTGTTGCCGATCTTTCTAACAGCCTTCGTTGCATAGCTCACACCCACTTTCAATGATCCAGTGGTCCCTAAGACTAAGTAAACTGTTGTAGAAGATTCTTTCCGCGCACTTGCTCCCAGAAGCACGAGACTGCAAGCGATCCAAGTCTGTGATGTTTACTCTGGTATACTCGATTAAATATAAGTCAAACACTAAGATAACTCACTCCCTGTCCATGTAAGGCGTATAACCCACATTAGTTGGTTCATAAGAAATTGCAGGGTTAGAGCCGACACCAGCAGATTCAATTACTATGAGCCTGCAGGGATTTGGGGAACCCCGTACTATCAGAAATACAAAGCACCACAAAGTAATTGTAACTGAAGACATTCGCGATTTCGCACGACCAAGTGGACCCGGTGGGCATAGGAGTTCCTGGTCGGGGGTGCACGAACCGTGGGTAACAAGCTGGTTCTTGCCCTGGGCTGATTTGAGCCATGTCCAATCACAACCATATGACCAGTTGAAAGCTATGCGTTTATTGCTGTATCGTTATGCATGCATAGCTACATTGTCCCCAGCGTTTCAGGAGTCCGTCGGGTGGGCAGACGCGTGTTTGGCGTCCTGAAGTCACCGAGCAGCGCCATATCGAAGATCGACCGTTTCGAGTCTCCTTGGAGCACAACAGCGACGTAAGTCGCTGTTCCTTATTTATTTTTGCCCTGATTAGGTTTTCCATCAGGAATCGCTGTAGATATAATCCTTTTCCAAGAGTCCTTTTCCAAGAGGCTAATGTGGATTTGCATTTTCATTTTTGTTCCCTCCTGCATGGGATTATTGATCGGGGAAAGTGATTTCATGAACCACCATTGTTCAGCCAGATTATCGCCTCTTAAACATGTGTTTCGAAAGGGTCGAACGAAAAATTGATCGAACCGCCTGCATGCAAAACTTGAGAACTCTAGTCTACTTCCTAGGGTTCTTGTGTCCCTTTTATTACTCATGTAGCCGTTGCAGTAGTACCGAATTACATATGTGTTCTCACCCCCCTCCAGTCATCGTGCTGTGCTACCTATGCAGAATTTTTCACCTAATTTTGTTGCAATTAATGTAAAAAATCTTGCAACCACCTTCGTTTCCTTATTTCATTCTATTTCGTGAACATTGCAAAGAAGAATGTTCAGTGAATCTCCTATTCAGTTTCACAGTCTTTTATAGTCAGTTTCGTATTGCCAAACCTAATTTTGAAAACCTTGCAACCAATTTCGTACATCGTGCCACCGCTTTTGTAAAGTTTGTACGGTACGATCCGGTTTATACTAAGCAGGCTACAATATACTCTATCACCATAGATGTCATATTCTGGCTTATTGCCGCGACCAAGTACGAGCCATCACAAGTTGGGTAACTCACCGTAGCACTCTTTAGAAGTTGGAGAAGTGTTCGACCAAGTTTGGCGTTGATGTCTTTGACGGCAATTTCCTGCACCGTCGAGCGCGGTCTACACTTTTAGCATCAGCAGCGATGTTGTGATTTTCGTGTAAGATGAAAACACACATTCATTTGTAGAATTGAGGTTGCTGTGGGGCAGTTATTCTATATTGACGGACCTGAGTTCAACATTACAGTGCGAGAAATAACTCCTAGGCTTTGAGGAGCGTCAACCGTGCAATTGGTGCCAGGGCTTCGGATGGGGAACATCCCCATTGCTCGAATAGCCAGATAGTGGGCAGGTCCCGAAAATAGACTATACTTAATCGCATTTTACCTAGAATGTTGTAACAACCAGCTTCGAGAAATACGAATAGGACTGCAAGATTTTCATATTAATCAGAATGGGAGTTCTGCAGAATTGCCAGCGTATTTAGGAAGCAGAATGGAAGAGTCATGACACTGGTTGCAAGGAATACTAAATTGATTGCAAGGTTTACAAAGTGGGATGGAAAGCCCTGTTATGATTTTCTTAATGTGCTCTGATAGGTGGCTGAACATCAAGGGATCCTATCTAAAAATGAATGGTCCCTCTTCATCAAAGTTCACACGAAGGCTCCAGGCACCAGGCAAAACACTACTTTCGCCTATAACATTCTATCACAGAGGACCCATAGACAGTGTCACATTCTTGACAGACCTCTAGTAAAAACCCAAGCATCGCCTTTCTTCTCAAGAGGGATTGAGTGTTCAAAGGTTTCAACGTTCCCGCTCTTCCATTCAGTGCCGATCCGCGAGTTAAACATCTTCAGTACAACAGCCCAATGAATCTGTACTCTGACGAAAGTGCTGCAGAGCAGTACATACAGCAGACCGCTGGCATAGTCGACAACGGAGTGTGAGTGTTATTCAATAATTTTACTGCTCAGATGACCATGATCTTTATTACCCATTTTTTGTTGGTCGTCATCGATGTCTACATCATTTTCTTTCTTCGTCGTCTTTCTTCCCAAGAGGGAATGAGTGTTCAAATTTTAATATGCTAGCGTCAAACTATTTCCCAAATGCAGTTCTGATTGAATTTCCTGAGTTGCGTGCTTTATTACTCAACTCAAGCTCGCAATGACGGGGATCCTCAAATTGCTGCCTGAATGTTAGAAACATCTCGACTTTATAGTTCATGTATACTATAACAATTGTAGACAGAACCGGAAGGTGCTGGTTAGACCGGAGTTGGCGGCGTTGCATGACCTGAAATTGATCTTTTTCTCTACTCTATAAACTTTGTTATTGAATAAGCGAGACCGGGTGCTAATCCTATGTGGAAAAAGGAACCTGACCCATTTTCTTGATTTCCCCCGCCGGCCTCTTCTAAGAGGCGAATCTTGATAGTTCAGCGACTTTTCACTGGTCTACAACAATTTTCAGACTTGTTGAAGGTCCAATGAGCATTCGAATGCGCTGTGATTCAATGACGCATTTGAATGCTATGAACGGCTCATAAAACTTTTTTTTCCGAAATCTAAGTGTATGTGCAAGCTGACGAATGTAGTTAGGGTGATGCTCCGATGTCCTCTCTATTCTGATTGAGAGTGCACAGTTAGCCGATAGCTGCTCTGAGAGGTTCTCCCTCGCCTGGGAGGTTCAGTTCACGTGGCTGGACCAAGTTCCTTCTGATCTCGGATTTCTTGATTTTCCAGCGCTCATTTGATCAGCTCTGGTTTTAGCGTCTTATGTTCGCAGAAGACAATGTTCGATGTTGCTGTAGCAGTTATGCTGTACGTTTCAGATAACAACTTAAGGGTGGGATTTGGTGGCTTATGGGCAGAATAAGGGTTTCAGAAATCACAAAATTGTTTCTGAAAGCTATTCGTGGTACTAACACTACTCTAATGATTAAATTTGTGCGACTAACATTTCACTGGAACAGATTTACGCATAAGGCGTCTTACTTCCCCAGTCTTTTCTCAGTTCCTATGCTCATTCAGATAGGTATAACAAGGAAGTAACGATTTTTTTCGCATACCTCTGCTGGGTAGGACACCCTTGAAAAGTTGGTGGAACTTCTGACCAAACTCCTCTTTTATCGCTTTCATTTCGGTTCTGTCGGCATCGGTAAGCTGGGCATCGGCGACCTCCTTGGCAATCTGTAATGATTTTTGCTTCATCCACCTGTAGAGCTGCATCAAAACTGAATGAATGTAACGGGGTTTGAAAATTGAAAGTTATTTTTAGTTTGAAGAATGCGAGCTGAGCTTAGTAAATCGAAGCATAATGCATCGCAGAGCAGGTGTAGCACAGGAAGGTTTCTTTGAATTTCCTGGGATTCTCGGGATCAGAGATTGAGAGCTCGAATTCTATCTATGAATATTTGCGGCTGAAGTATCCACTATACTAACCGTTGCTCTCGCGTTTTCCATGCCACCGAAGAATGCTCCTGCTTCAAATTGGCTCATCAGCTTGTTCCCAAGTGTTTTCACCTGCAATAAGTTTGAATATCAAAGCGAATTCGACCTGACCCTCAGATGGGCACAAACCTTCTCATTATTGCTCGAGGCGAGCTTCGTCTTCAAATCGTTCATCAGTGAATCGAATTTTTCCTTAATTGAACAGCATTTCGTTCTAAATGCTCACGAATGCTCCCACTCTTTTTCGTTTTCTCAGCCATACACCTCATAATTCCGTTTTCTGCTTCCATTTTATTTGTTTCGATCTTATAATTAGCAACTCAGCATGACATTATAGGAATGTACTACTACTTATAGGATCTTTCAATCTGTCTGATCAAGGGCTTCCTTGATCAGGGAAATCTAGACGTTTGTTCTCTCTGGCTGCTTTCATAGTCCACGATTTGGCGAGCGACCGATCGCGCAACCGATTGCTCGCAGCGCTCATGGCTGACTTTTTCAGGAATTTTTAAAATTCTCAAATTTTCTCAATCTCTTACCCTTCCGTAGAAACTTCTGAAGCGACATAAATTGAAAAGTCTCATGATAACCTAAAGAAGAACAGTCACTCATCTCCCATACCCACCTCTTATCTGAATTGGGTACCCAGCAACACCAAAAAATGGGTCATGAGTAGAGGAATTTGTAAATCGCTTATTTAAGTTTGGCTGGATCTTCTGGTCATTTTGATACTACAGTACCCTTTGCCTTGTTTGACAGTGCTCACTTCTTGGGGAATGATCTTTTCTGGTCGGCCGAAATGACTTGAGCAACTCGAAAATGGCAACGATTCGCTCAGTTGAAAGCGAATCGTAGGCGAAATGCAGGGATTTCTATGTCATGCAAGTGATGCCGACGTTGAAATATGAATATACAGTACTTATTTTGATTTACTCGAGAACCTTGTAATCGAAGAAAGCCTTTATATAGCCTTATCTTATTTGTGAAGGTAAAAACCAAACGGCTTCAATCTAGCGGGAAAACATTCTGAGTATTTCTAGTCTATTGTAACATAATCTTGATGTAATCATACCTTATAGTCTCCTCCTAGACTAGCGAGGAATTCGTTGAACTTGGCCTTCTTCTGGTCGGGTGTCATATTCGACTTGAAGTCTTCTTCGAGCTGGAATTACTAGTTTACTCAGGGTTGCTGATGAGCTTGATGCTGTACCTGCTTCGCCTTTGCCTGCATATCTGTATCATCTGCAAGAATTGCTACGAAAACTGCAAAGCACAAGAAGATTCGGAGCATTCTGGAATGGGTTTATAAACGTTTCAATAGACAGACAGTAAATGGAGCGACTCGAAGCGTTGGCGGCTGCCTTTTGTAGCTCCCGATCGTACTGGGCGGTTATCCTGGGCGATTATGTAGCAATTGAACACGAAATAATCGTCACGTCCGATCACACCAGACCAACAGGACCGATAATCACCCAGCATACTCTCGGAGGATCACCGAGGGATCCGTCGTTGGACGAATTTCAGTGAAAATTGTTTTCGATGGATAGTGAGTCGTGGATCATTATGATACGGATTTTGTGGTAAGGCGATTCCCGAAAGCTACTGGATGGGACGTAAACAGTAGATATCTGCTGGTCGGCCAATCATTCCCGGATCACATTTTGTTGCCGCGAAAACTTTGAAGAACTCAAAAATGAGATTGCGGATTCGAATTGGCTTCACACTTACCGGCGATCCTTGCCAGCTTCGCATCTCTTATCTGACTCCCAAACTGACTTCCAGCCTCTTTCCTGAGGACTGGATGACCAAAATTTTGAAGCTAGCCCTCAGTTTTCCTCGTCACAAAGCCACGTAGTTGAATTAAAAAGGGTCGAATACCTTTCCTTTGTTTGTTGGCGGTAACCAGTAGTTTATGGTGATAAATGTATATCATCCTGAAAGGCGCTAAAGGAGCACCTGAAAAAAGCCAAAAGCAGAAACGGTCGGGGGGATCACTTGCGGGGCCGTTCCAGTTTCAATGTCAGGGTCACAAAACCTCCTTAAACTACGACGCCCAGCTCCATCGAGCCTTTTTGAACTGTTATTAAATACAAAAATGGAGTATGATTCAACTGTAATCGCGTGTTGTCAGTATTGGAGAAGCTCAACTCATGAGAAGGGAAAGCCGAAAAAACATTTTGCACTTGCAACTGCAACTTGCATTTTTAATTTACTTTCAAGCTGGGCCTTCAAGTTAACAGTCTCAGGCTAACTTATTGGAACCTTCTCGAAATCATCGCCATTACTATTTTTCAAACTGTGCCAATCACCTTTATCACCACAAGCCAGAGGTTCTACACATAGTCGAGTGAGCCATGTTAGATGTAGTTACAAAGTTACATGTAGTTGTTTTAGACCTGCAACTATTCCTCGACAGTCAAACGAACCAGCTTACCAGCGCAGCGAGACTCTTCGTCTTATCAAGGAAGAGGAAGGCAAGCCAAAAGGTTTTAGATTTCCAATGCGGGAGTGAACATTTCAAGTTTGAGGGCAAAGATGAATTGCTTTCAGGTAACCTCTCCGATCATCCCAATCCACAAGGTCTACCAGTGTGTTTCCTCTGCAACAGACCAATTCTGTGAGTTTTGCCGCTTGAATTACTTTGTTAACAGAAGCAACATTCATTACAATCGCGATATCGTTTCACATCGACATCAAAAGTAATTCAGACATATAATCATTGTCATTCTGGCTTTTGGGTGATAATACTGATAGCAGGCCTAGAGGAACTGTGTCGAAGGGCTAGCTACCCAAGTAGAATCGTTCCGCCAGTCCGGTAGAATCGAACTCGTCGAGGTGGAAGTGCTTCTGGGACTCCATCGTATTCCACGTTGTATAGACCTACAAGAGCAGTGCTGTCAGGTTGTACGAGGTGCTTGTCATCATTGGCTGTGGCTTACCGTTTCGATTGGCCAACGCTTCACTGAAACTTCTTCTCACTCTGGCTGCTGGCGTAGCGGAAACCTGAAAATAATATTTTTGAATAGCGCACAAGCTTACAGCCCAGATTTTTACATATTTTTCTACGTGGTACCTAGGAAATTAATTCGAAGGGAAATTTACCATTATATCGGGAAAACACAACCATTTCTTTTCTGCTGACTCTAGTGGACAAATCATCTGTTTCTAAGGTCATATTAAATCTGCCTCACCGGATCGATTTTTATCTTTTCATTGAGGGCTTTGAATTGAAGGAATTTGTAGAGATTTGTATAAACGACCTATAAAGGTCAAAAGAATTGGCTGACTATGTTCCGATATATTTTGCATCAGGGTGCACATATGGAGCAATGACAAGTGTGCAGTCTATCGCATGCATGATCCGAGGATGAATCATGGTTTGATACCCCTTGGGCCAAGCGAGCTTTCCATTCCTCAGAGTCCCAAAAGTCAACTGAATGGCTACAGCCTCGTCCGAGAGGATAAATATACTGGTTTGACTTGGGGTTCCAGGTAGAGCTTGTCGTGAGTGGTTGGGGCCAAAAGTATGCTGAAGAAGAAATAGGGGGTCATCTGTAACTGCGAGCTCCCAGCTATATGGTGCTTGAGAAATAAGAACTACGGCCGAGCGCTTCCAACCTTTTTTTTGTTTAAAGTGGATTCAATTTACAACTGCGAGTCCACTGAGGAGGCCATAAGTAAAGTAAATCTGGTATTGTTTTCTGTCCGACTTGAACGAACTCAAACTGCTGGTAGTGGTTATCGGCTCTTTTTCTTTCTTAATAGGGATTGTCAGTGGTGCTCAGTGCCAGTTTCATGAAGAACTCAGAAGGTGGGAATTGCTTCTTGGTTATCGAATTCTAGAGGGTAATCCTCTACATTCGAGGAAGTGGTGCCCATTTGTTCTCACTCCTTGATCGCTAAGATTTATTATTCTATTCGAAACTTGGAATGGGGTCAGGATGAAAATTGTGGAGTAAGATCGAGTGTGTTACCATAGGAGCCCGGAACATAAATTACTCCATCTCAAGTCCGTCAAATGGAGCAAAACAAAACGTCGATACAAAAAATTATTCCATTATAACGATAAGATCACCTCTCACAAGAAAAAAAATCATTTTTAAGTCCAGGTCACTAATGGTCCCTGGTGAAGAGATCACAACCTCGCTTATAGACTAGCTGTCGGCCTCGAGTTGAGATGGTCCCAACGGGAAAGCTCGGGAGTCAAAACGTTTGAAGAGTTCTACAAACTTCCTTCGGATGCTGTCTTGATTTGGAAACGTTGGTGACACAACTTGTCAAATTGGTCGATTTCCTTTTTTCCTACAGTCACCACAGCGCCACACTCTGTAAGCATAAATGCCAAAGTGAGTATGTGACAGGGAACACCCTCACCAACCCTTACAGAGGGAAAGTTGACAGCTGAACTACCTATCCAGGGAAATGTCTTGTCATGCACGGCGTAATCAACGAGCTTCTCCATTGTTCCTTATTCACCTGGGCAACTTTGTTTGCTCTTGGTCACTATGCCCAATGCATAGGAGTCCTTTCGAATCGGATTCAAAGAATATGTTAGTAGGGAAGTGATTAGGCATTCTCTCTAATTCTTCCCAAACATCCAGTGGAGCGGGCGCCAAAGTACACCTTCGACTCTGTAATACATGGACATGTTTGGGTTTTCAAGTGAACGTTCCAAAAATTGGACGTATCAACTATCACTGGTAGCTATCAGTTGTTAGTGGACCGCTGCTGTTGCTGTCCTGTTGGTCAATCAGTCAATTGCTACATCGCTGTGGGAACAGCCGCACCAAACAATGCAATAGTGCCGATTTTTTCCGAAAAAATAGTCCACCGCTGTTAGTAGGGATTTCCAAAGCTTGGACCTATAGAAGTAACGGGGTCTGCGTGGGGAACTGAATCCTAGCTCCCTTCTTGGGATTGGAGGATTTTGTGAACCATACAAACATCGTTGATTTTGTTTACTTATGAAAAAAGCTCCACCAAAAAGTACGTAGGATCCATTATAAATACACCAAAAAGTACGTAGGTTCCATTATAAATACTGAAAAAGCTCTATCAAAATTTCGGGTTTTCAAAAAGGAACGTTTTTGCCATAGAATCTGGAGCTTGCACTTGACACCTGCCGATGAAGCTTCATGAGTTCTCTTTAAGAAATCGGTTTACAGAAGTTCATTCTTCTACAGGTAAACGGCTTCCACGACTCGGGGTTAACCCCAATCCGTTCATTGAGGGTAGCCTTCTAATGGCTGCTAAATTCAGGAAAACTTCGAGGTCGCCCATATGATTAATGTTGCGTGTGAATGCATTAGAAATTTGCCATGTGCTAGCATAAAGCTCGTATTGAAAGCGACCACTCTATGATTCCCCGCGGAACTCGTAGTTGGGAACTACCTGTTCCTCCACTTCTGCATTCGCTACTTCGAAAGGTTGAAGAATAAACACAAGAGTCAGTGAGTAGGTAATCGGGTCGTTCCTTTTTGGTACTACGTTCCTTTCCCTCAACCGACTTCGTAAGAACCGCTCAAGTCAACAAAAAAAAATTTTACTTACACTGATAATGACGGAAATGAACATCACGATCAAATTCATGAGTTTCATCGTGAAAACCTGGAAAAAACAGATTGACCATATGCTACGAAAAGATGGAAGCACACGCAAAGAAGGAAGTAACGGAATATTTTCAGGGGAGTAATGGCTCGCGCTGCTGGTCACGATCTACATGGAGACTGTCTGTCATGTGCCACATGTGGAAGCAGCCTGCGCAATGTCGGTCATCATTTCATCGAAGGTATAACAAAGTTTTTCGATAAGAAGAATTCGAATAATGCAGGTGTTTGTGTTTCAGACAGATTTTATTGTGATGTGCATGGTCGCCAGAAGAAAGGACAAGGAGCGCCCGTGGATCCTGCGCTAGCAGTGTGAGTGATTTGATCAGGAGAATTTGTTCCCAGAGACATAGAATGCTTTCTGAACACCTTTATGAGAAAAGTATAGAAGCTGGAAGTGAGTTTTATGAGAGAGAAAGAGAGTAATACAGTTCCGTATAAGAAAGAGAAAATGTTCGCGTACTAGCACTTCTCGAACGGTTTCAAACTGTTAGAAGAAGGGTGAATCTGGAAAACGTCAGTGCTGAATAGTGAGCGGATTGGCATCTACCTCAGCTCCTCAAGCGACTATGAGTCGAACTTCTTACATACTAGACGGTACTCTCAAGTGGGATGGATACTGAAATGTTGGCTACTGCACTGGATCTCTTCATTGGGACAAGGGAGCGAATTCCCTATTTGCTGCAGCCTCTGCAAAATTGGGCTTTCGCTGGTACCTAACAGAAATACTCTGCATTGTGGGTTATTAAGGTACTGATAGGCTCATATCAAATTCTCAAGTCACTTAGAATGCATTCTTTCAAACGGAATAGAGGTGACAGAGTTAGTCGTGGTGGATTCTCGGGTTGGTAGGGATATGACCCATTCGCAAGTGAATGAACGTTCCAAGAGACAAAGTTGAAGCCAGCATACTAGGACCTGGACACAAACCCAAGTGGTGATCGAGCGAAGCACCGCCCTGTTACTCTCTAAGGATTCACCCGCGTGTTACCCTTGATGCGGACTAGAAGGACCGCCTAGTGAACTACGCTTTCTTCTTGGGTTAGGTTATGAAGAACATTGTCATCCGGTCTTGATGGTGCCTTTTAATGTACCTAGTCTCTAGGAGGATTACCGAGTTATGGCCTGCTTGTAAATGGAGGTGTCGCTGTTCTGAGAAGCTCTTGCCATTATCATAGCTGAATATTCTCTCCTCAATAGAAGAGCTTTCCCATTTGTCACACCCTATGGACGTCCTTCGTTATTGCTTGAGACACTAACGTCTCGCTTTGAAATGAAGCTCCAGCAGCTGTAAAATGGATGCTTCACTCAAGAACCACGTGTAGCTACTAATTACGATATGCTTCTCCCAGTTGGTATTTCCCTAGGCAATGCCCCAACCCGGGATTGCCGCAATTCTAGGAAGGATATAAAAGTTATGAGCACAACTTAGTCTCGTCAGGTTGGGTCAGGGTGTGACTGATAAAAGGATAAGAAAATGATGAGAAGTGATTCATAAACGAAGAATCAACGTTCTCCAGCCCTTCAGATAAGTGACAAGAATAACCTCTATACTCTATTCTGAGGTATTATAGAAATTGGCTGGAAAGACTTTTAATTAGCGGTCAGATGAGTTAATTAACCAGACTTTTACCTCATACCCATGAATTCCTAACTTCTTTCAAGCTTTCGAATGTCGATGTCCTGAAAAGGTTGCTGCATGAAGTATGGCCGTTTTGACACTCTGGATTCAGGATTCAACGGAGAGCCCTGCGTCCTTGTTGCACATACTGGGCCCGACTGAGGGAGGAATGGGCGAGGTACGGCTCAATGCCGTTTAGAGCGTTTCATGGGAAGGCTTTATGGGTTAAAGCCTAATGTGCTTTTTGTCATTGCTCCGCCCCTCTCCCAGAACTCCTTACAGAAGACAACTCGTTTTTTATACGGATCACTGGTCAACTACGGTACTACACGTCCTCATTCCATAGTACAAAGGATGATTAGTTACCAATAATGTGCTTCTTTGAATGAATGCGTTTTCTGAATGACGAAAACAAGAGCGATTTGGTCCCCAGAGTCTTCTCCTCACCCTTTACTCTAATGTGAAAAAGGGTGACCCGGCAACTAAAATTCAGAGCAGTGGTCGAATTGAGTATGATCTGGATAGGCTGTGTTTTGAGGAACAATTTCTATCGGAGACTTCTAACAGTATTTGTGCAATTGAAGGCCTGCGGATGCCCATGGTATCGAAATAGGCGACGTAAATTTTGAGCTTGTGCGAGGTTTAAAGTCATATTTGAAGACTGTCTCTGTCCTGAGTGCTTTTGCCCTTCAGGGCAGGGCACCAACAGGCAGGATTCAAAGTTCTCCTGGGTTCACTTTGAAGGAAAACGGAAACTTGGATTTTTTGGTGTGAGATTTGGCAGATGGTGCATTTGAAGTTAACCTACCAACCTATCACAAATTTTCAAGCCACCGTAGATAGCATTTATCTCGAATCAGCATGCTGCTCACTAGGACTTCTCCCGCGCACACTCGAATTCACCCACTTTCATGTGGGTATTTTGTTGGACATGACATGGTGCTGTACAAAAACTATTGAGCATGTGATGATATTTTTTGGACGAGCCATCGTCATTTATTCTGAGCGGAATATTCAAATCAAGAGGCCCAACAACTTCAGAACATTCCCAATCCCAGGAAGATACATCGCCTTAGTTACCAAAAAATTAACGTTCTGACGTGAAGAATTAAATCGTTGAGAAATGTCACTGCGAAAAATTCAACTAACAGCAGCCTCAGGCCTTCAACCAATGTCCTCAATCCACAGCTCTGAACAGACCGTCCTCTTGTTTACGATGGGCGCCAATAGAGGATGCCCTTTCGTCGGGAGGAAGCGCCAAGGAGAACTAATTTGTTCGAATTCCTAAGTACTTCACAAAATAAAATGTTGGAATGTCCAAATGGAAGACATTAATTGAACAAATGGCGTGGCAGGAATGATACGCCAACAGGAAAGCATTATGTTTAGTTAGTTGATTTTTTGCTGGCAACTACTCAACTATGAATTGCATGGGAGACCTCCAGAGTGCCACAAAGTTCATTAACAGTAAAGTATTATAATGCTACACCGCAACATGTGCGCTTCATTGAAATGTTGCAAGACTGGGATTCTGAGGACGAGAAGTGGGAGCTGCTACTTCCACCGCGTCACTCGATTAGGGTAGACAGTAGGAAGTTGCTGAACAAGCTCTTTGTCTGTCCACGACACAAAGATGCTTGATTAGGTCCTCAGCAGAATAAGTGCAAGTTGCGAACTAAAAAGACATCAAATGACGAGAGTGAGAAACGAGTAGGCCAGTACCCTTCGTGTCCTTGAAAGGGCCCACTCTAAAAATGGCCTTATAAATGCTGTTAACTTCCCACTTCTCTAATGAATTGAATTTCAGGAAGACATCACCGACAGGTAATCCTGAAAGATCGGCAGACGGTGGGCGATTGTTGTATCAACCTGAAGTGATGTCTAGACGACCTCTTTCAGTGAGCCCAACTCCTCAGCACACCGGCACCCACATCCACTACGGAACACCCAAAACACATGGTACACTTAGGTAAGTAAGATGGGTTTAGCCAAAAATAAAATGGGTGCGTACCGACTAGATAAGCAGCTATGACAGCAAAATCCTCCCTAACAAATCTAGTGTGCCAAATCGAACGCAATTTGGAATGTCGACCAAGAATAGGAGGATAAATTTATGGCCCCTCACCCTTTTTTTTTTAGTTTATAAATAGTAGAAGCGGTTCAGAGCTCAGAGTTCGACTAATTCTCATTTTATAGGCTTGGGGAAATTCGTACTCATCGTATGTCCCGGAAAAGAATAATGGACACACCTACACGGTCTGTTTTTGATTAGTTGGGTACCTGAGAGGACACCGTGTTCCTCAGGACAATGTTCAACACTTCAGTATGAATCCCATTCAGTTAGTTTATGGAAAGTACCGTTCATCCCACAGCAGTTCAGAGGGTCATGAGGTCTAAGCTGTTAGCGGAAAAGGCTTCTCATCCCGCCTGGCCAATTAGGTTGCTGGCATACCTGATGGTAATCTACCTACTCTGTGGCAATGCACACCTCTCCCTCAAGCCCTCTCTTTCAAAAAATTGCAGATTGAGGGCGATCATATCGATCGAGAAATCTTCTTAAGTCTGATTCTTCTAGGAACATTTGATTGAATAGCTCTTTTTGAAGGCTCGAGGGGAACAGTATGAAACTTCGTTGTCGTTTTCAGACTCTGTGGGGCTTGGCTAAATTACTGGGACGAATTGTTAACTGAGAATGACACGATACCCGGGTTCTCGTACCATACTTAGCGAGATGAAACAACGGCCAGGTGCGGTATCTCCTACCCGAGCGGCCTGTCGCCCTCACCGCACCCCGGGTCGTGTATAAATAGGAAGATTTGAGATTTTGTTGGAAAGATGGTCGTTTCCATGAAGACACTGCCATTTGTCGTGCTAAGAGATATGAATAGGCGCTCTTAGGAATTATGACCGTTTATGGTTCGTTTATGAGAAGTAAAAAATGGGATTCTTTCGCGAGAAAGCAACACCGTTATTGGCTTACGCCAACGCATTTGACTTCCATTCAGAATCTTAGTGGCGTTATGAATGCCTATGTGGCCTACATAATGGCTTGCTGTAGGCAGCAAATGTGCAATTCGGTACTCCTATCCTCCCAGACGAATCTGAGACCAATTAGCTGGAGGGATGAAAGCATGGTTGTCCTGACCGGATTTCATCCTGGAAATCGGGAATCGCAGGACTGTGCGTGTGAGATTGTGCCCACTTGTCACAACACCACCTCCCCCTAGAAAGAAAGTGACTTTGGGACGTATCCCATTTAACACAATTACCGAAGAAGTTAGCCAGAAAAGTGCTCTGTTCCTTATGGTCAACAAAAATGAGTGGGATGGGATCAGAATTACTAAATATAACAGTAAATGAAAAAAAACACAGTGAAGGGGTGGTTGGACAAAGTAGTAGCTGAGCTTGTTTCCCACATCTATAAATACTAGCCAGTTGATGAGTACTGTTCCTCTACGCTAATCAGTAGAGTGTGGGAGAAATAACAATTGACTGCTCACTAAATAATAATCATTAGAGGAGTAGAGTGGATTAACGATGTATCTCAAAAGGGCAACCACAGATCGATACTCGCCCTGTCAAACAGGTCTTTCATCCCTTCGAGGTCAGCTGATTGGTACTGAGCTCATTTAGGAAGGTGATGTTGACACAAATATCCGCTTATCCTCTGAAGTCATTGTATGGCCTGAATAAGCAATCGAACTCCTTTGGAAACGCGCGCCACTGAAATTGGATTGACTTCAATAAACTTCGGCTAGATCTAAAATATCTTTCAGAAGGCTATGAGCGAATCCTGGATCCAAACATTTCTAGGAAGGGAATAATTGCCCAAGTCTGTAGGCCTAGATGGCACACTACCAATCCCGTTTTCTTCGACTGTTTCTACTTCGTTTGGAATGAAGTAATCTCGAAATGGAGTGAGTGGAGGCCCCACGTTCTTAGATCGCAAGCCATCCGAAAGGAATAGGAGCTTGGGAAGACTCATTGGGGAAATTGCTTTTGTTGCTAGTTAACGGGGCTAATGATTCTCTGCTCGTCAGCAAATTTATTGCATTTTCATTAGTCGACATCCATAGTTATGATCACGTTAGCCAAAAATGACTAGTTAACGGGGCTAATGATTCTCTGCTCGTCAGCAAATTTATTGCATTTTCATTAGTCGACATCCATAGTTATGATCACGTTAGCCAAAAATGACCCTAGATCTTTGGAATAAGAATGAGTGGGATGATTCAAAGGAACTCAGTCCAAGACATCAGCACACCACAGAAAATGAGAAAGGATCGTTTACGTACTGAAGTGAATAGTAGGTTTGGAACGTGCTTGCAGCCACGGATACACCCTCGAGCCAAAGCTCAAAGCCAAAAAGCAATTTGACGATCACTGAGATGTGCCAAGCGTTCTGCCTCTCATGGGAAGCTGTAAGATGACGTGAAGAGCTCAAAAATGCAAGAGCTAGGAATGGAATACCAAGATGACAAAGAAACCAATAAAACCCAACGCTTAGGAACCAGCAAAATAGCGTTTTCGGCCATGAAATGAAGCGGCGGAAATCCATATAAATGCTCCTTCGTTTTCGAGGACCAGCTTATCCGATGAGTTCATGTGGTGTCCGTGTGAAAAGATGTCTTCATTTGTTTCTCCTTCAACACGTGTTCACTTCTGCTGAGCAACGTAAACAACAATAGACTCTGAGGCAATATTCGACCCTTCGGCTCTAATTTGTTGCTTGGCCAAGAGC